AAAAAATAATTGTGAATTAGAAAATTATAATAAAATATTTCGCCGATGATGTCATAAGTGGCATGTTCTGAGAAGGTTTCTCCTAAACCTAACCTACGGCCTGTGGGACTGAGATCGGCTTAGAATGGCATAATGACATGCAAGAGATCGGTGATCAGAGGAAAAGAGTGAGATTTCGTTTGGGAGCTCCTAACAACCCGGTGGAGCCTAGCTGCTTGAGGGGGATGTTGAATTACATTGTGAATTAGAAAGCAGCCTAACTTGAATTTTGAGAAGTGTTACTCCATATAAGATTCTTAAAAAATTATGGACTTATGCATTCTGCCTCATATTAGGTACCATAACAGGGCTGTGCTGAAATCAGTAATCTTACAATGGTAAATTATAAAAATGAATTGTTTAGAAGAGTGTTGGGATTAAATAAAACCTTCCAAAGTCTATTCTTGGTGGTATAGTATGACGATTGGAGTTTGATATTAAAGAAAGTGGGTACATAAGAAAATAATTAAGGATTGCCTTAATTTGACGTCTTATGTATTCTAAGGATTTACATGGCTTTAGAACACATAACTTTACAACTTTTTCCTCTGAAAATAACGCTAAGATGATGATCTGGTGATTTGCAATTTTAAAATGAAGGCTTTGATTCCTATGATGCCTTGATAAGGAAATTCATTGATGAAAATGACATAACCTAGAAGGAATAAAATAATTTGATTGAATGGAGGAGGAGTGGAGAGATCTATCAGTTAACTGAAAATGAGGGAAGGATTCTGGTTATGAGTTCTTTGAACCTTTTAAACATGGATGGAGAAAATGTAGAACAAATAACAAAACATGACGTTGCAACATATTATGGATCATTTGTTTGGGCGATTAGGATAGCACATCGTAAAATATATCCAGAATGTAGAGCCGATTTTTTGTTCTTTAGTAAAAAAAGCAATGCCGAGAGTTAAAGGCTAATTAAATAAAAGTGTAAGCGATTCTTAAGAAAGACCAATAACCAGTAGTGATCATTATTCGACATGAATTATATTTATTATTATTCAAGGCATTCAAAAACTATTTTTTTTTTCTATATTTATTATTTTTTATAACTGATTGTCTTAAAAACATTTAGTGAGGTTAGACTAACTTTAGGAGGATTCCTCTAGAATTAATAAAGGGCTATACACGAAAAAGAATTTCGCAGCCTTAACAAACAAACAAAAAAGTATGAAATGCACATTTGAGAACAAAAAAATGAAAGAATGAAGTAAACAAAATAATCAATTTCTTTATGATTTACCATTTTATAGTATTAGCTACCAATTATTATCAAAGCATTGAGAACTAATATTTTAGATTTTATAAAAATGATGCTAATTTTTTATTATACTTCTATTCTCTATTCATAAAATTTCAATCTCTTCAAATATTTAGGTGATTCACTAAAGATAATTTATGGTTTCTTTTTTATAAAAATATGGAAAAGATATGTTTTAAAAATTTATGGTATAAGACTGTTAAAATAAGTAATAGAAATTGAATATAAATATAATGAATTGCACTTATCATCATCATCCAGTAACAATGATATGCATAGCTCCTCATTAGAATTAATGCTAAAGGAGACTTTGCCCTGAATGCCAAGATGAACATTAAGTGGATACTCAATATATAATTTCGATTAAAAGATTTAAAGAAATGGTTAATAAGAAATTAAAGGAATCTAATCTTGATAATTATTGTGAATTAAGAAATTAAAGAACGAATTTTAAATCATTGATTTCTTAGTATGAAACCATGTTAAAATAAATTTGGGAAAAATTATAAGAATCAATAAAATAGATTTATGATGCAATTGAGAGAGAGAATACATCTTATTTGACAATCATGAACGAAGTGAATCCAACAGAATTATCAAATACAAATTTTGAAAAATTAGTTTAAATTGTTATAGGAAAAACATTAGATGTCAAAATAGATATTACAAATTCTGTTTTGGAGAGCTTGCAAATAATGCAGAACTAGTTGGAGCAAGAAACTAATGCTTTTTAAGAGAAGTTGTAGAAAAAAATGATAGAGAAGATATCAAAGATTAAATAAGCATCAGAAATAAGCATTTAACCTATTTGGGTAACACAATAAGGTTATGAACGAAAAGAAGAATTATATGACGTACTAGCTTATACAAAATATATTGATGAATAATTCCTAAAAAGGATTATCGAGAAGATTAGGAAAGCGAAAATTACAGATTGTATAGAATTTCTTTCAAATCTTAGTAAAAAAAGCAATATAAATTAATCATAGAGAAATTTTATCATTAATATAATTAAAAATATTAGTGAAATTTGTTTTAATAAGAAAAACTATTCATCTGAAAATTATTAAGAAATTAAAAAGGACTTAATTAAATAAATAGCAGGTGAAGAGAAAATAGTCTAATTTCTGAAGTTTCTTGTTCAACTGACAGCCTTTGATGAGAAATTTATTCAATCTGGGTCCAATTCCCTCAATTTATTAGTAGAGATGAAAGTAAATGTGAAAGAACAAAACTTTGAAAATATCAGGATTAAGGATAGTTCTTTGGTTGGTGGTAATTTTGCAAGATGTAATTTTAATGGGTCTCATTTTGATAATGTTGATATTAGTGGAGTAAACTTCAATTAAGCTTAATTATTTAATTGTAAATGGAGAAATATAAAAATACATGAGTTAAATAAATTAGATGGTCATTCAAGTTATGTTTAATCAGTCTGTTTCTCTCCTGATGGTACTACATTGGCATCTGGTAGCTATGATGGCTCTATTCGTTTTTGGGATGTTAAGACAGGATAATAAAAAGCCAAATTAGATGGTCATGATGACAATCAATCTCCTTTTGTTTATTAAATATGTTTCTCTCCTGATGGTACTACATTAGCATCTGGAAGTTAAGATAGTTCTATCACTTTATGGGATGTTAAGACCTGTTCATAAATAGGCAAATTACAAGGTCATCGTGATTCAGTTTATTCAGTCTGTTTCTCTCCAGATGGTATGACATTAGCATCTGGAAGTTAAGATAAGTCTATTTGTTTATGGGATGCTAAGACAGGATAATAAAAATGCAAATTAAAAGATCAAGAACAATATGTTTATTCAGTTTGTTTCTCCCCTGATGGTACTACATTAGCATCTGGAAGTGGAGAATGTTCTGTTCTCCTATGGGATGTTAAAACAGGACAATAAAAAGCCAAGCTAGATGGCCATACGGAGTCCGTCATGTCAATTTGTTTCTCTCCTGATGGTACTATATTAGCATCTGGCGGTGATGATTTGTCTATCCTTTTATGGGATGTATATACAGGGAAAATAAAAGCCAAATATAATGGTCATCTTAAATCAGTTTAGTCAGTCTGTTTCTCTTCTGATGGTACTATATTAGCATCTGGAAGTTCAGATAATTCTATTCGTTTATGGGATGTTCAGACAGGTTAATTAGAAGCCTGTTTAGAAGTTCATAGTGATTATGTCATGTCAGTATGCTTCTCTCATGTTCAAAACATATTAGCATCTGGTAGTTCCGATAAATCTATTCGTATATGGGATGTTAAAACAAGATAATAACAAGCTGAGTTAATAGTTCATAAGTAGTATATTACATCGGTATGTGTCTCTCCTGATGGTTCTACATTAGCAACTATTAGTGGTGATCAGCCTAAGGGCTTATGGGATGTACAATCAGGATAACAAATCCTGCCTTCTGATTAGCGCTACAAAGATACTCTTGCTTAATTTAAACCACCCATGTTTAACTATAAACTTCTACCAGAAAGCGGTATTTTTTTATAAAATTCTTTAGCTATTTCTACTTTAAATATTCTCAAAATTTCTTAAAAGCCCATATTAGAAGCCAAAGCAGCATTAATCTTTTAAGGAGAATTTCTAAATTCCAAAGGTGAAGATTAAAGATCATTGTTTAAGGGAAGTTTTATTTTAGAAAACTATATTGAATCAAACTCTTAAGAATATTGAACATTGAAATGAATATTTGAAATATACAATAATTAATTAAGTTCTCCTATTTTTGGTTTCAATATTCCAAAATATTTCTTTTATTATTTCACTAGTATCATGAATTAAGATTGTCATAAACCTTTTAACTATAATTTCAGGTATCAACAACATTTTGTCTAAGTGATATTCATATTAAAATATACTAAATTACATCTAAGGGTTAAATATGAAGATAAAGGAGTATATAGTCTTCTAACCGTAAATACTTCTGATACATATTAAAATTAACTCTGTTAATGATTTATCTTTCGACTAAAAAAATGTATTAATTCAATTCCTGAAATATTATTGATTTATCATATGGAGTCTATTAATTAATTTATTCAAAATTAAAAAAAATCCCTCTTTTATGTAATTTAAATGAGTTTGATTAAGCCAACCATATCAACAATTAAAGTAGTTTTCTTATAGTTACAATATAAAGCATAATATTGTTGGCACTAAAATTACTTGTCTAGAAGATCTGAATCCCTATCTACGAAATGAGTTACTCTGCGTGTTACTTCTATTAATTAAAAAATTTGATTAAAGTATTATAGGATTTGGCAGAGGTTTTATATTTGAATTCTTAGCATTGAACTGTTAAAGGACTTTAATGATATGAAATTGAATATCTCTTGAAATTTGATGAAAAAAACATAGGAAACAAAATTTGGAAAGGTGTTGATCTCTTATTCAATATCTGAATGTTCAGTGATTTATAAAAATTAGACTATAAGCTTTTTATCATATTTAGATTGGAATGGGATTAAAATGAATTTTCTTCAGATATACATTGGTTGGAAAATTAATATTGAGTGAAACAAATATTGTGTTATTGATAATGATTAGATTGTTGGAAATCTAGAGAGAAGCAATATAAGATTTATGCTAAAAGAAAATCTCATAAATTAGGAAAAGTTGACAAATATATTTGAATAGGATCATTATTTTACATCTTGGGCGTAACAATCCTGTTATTATCCCAACTTGGTTCAGAAATATAGAACAAAAGATACATTACAACAATTAATATTTATTTAATGGGGAAACTTTATAACAAAAGATGATGAAATATATAAATTAGTTGAAAAATCGTTGCTTCTAAAATTGAATTAATTTAAATGGATTAATGAAATATATAGATTAAATTTACTCTGAAATTTTAGTCTATGGTTATTTTCATATTAAGAACATCATTTGCATTATCAAGCAAATGTGATTAATTTTATTTATTATCAAATCAATTTAGATTGGGATAAATTCTCTTTCGAGATAAATATCAAACAATAATATAAATTAAGCATCACATAAAGAAAAAAAATCATATTTTAAAAGATTCTCTTTCGCTAGGTTGATTTGAATCATCAAATCCAGAATCATTTTTTTGTGGTTCAACAAAATAACCATTTGTTTGTCTATTAATCGATTTGAATTCTATTAATTTGTTATGAATAAAACTAAATGCTCCAGGATATTGGACTTCTAATAATTGTTTGGTTTCTTCTGACACTTGAACCCTTCCTTTTTCTCCATTAGACTCCATTTTGTTTGAAATCATAACANTATATAGTCTTCTAACCGTAAATACTTCTGATACATATTAAAATTAACTCTGTTAATGATTTATCTTTCGACTAAAAAAATGTATTAATTCAATTCCTGAAATATTATTGATTTATCATATGGAGTCTATTAATTAATTTATTCAAAATTAAAAAAAATCCCTCTTTTATGTAATTTAAATGAGTTTGATTAAGCCAACCATATCAACAATTAAAGTAGTTTTCTTATAGTTACAATATAAAGCATAATATTGTTGGCACTAAAATTACTTGTCTAGAAGATCTGAATCCCTATCTACGAAATGAGTTACTCTGCGTGTTACTTCTATTAATTAAAAAATTTGATTAAAGTATTATAGGATTTGGCAGAGGTTTTATATTTGAATTCTTAGCATTGAACTGTTAAAGGACTTTAATGATATGAAATTGAATATCTCTTGAAATTTGATGAAAAAAACATAGGAAACAAAATTTGGAAAGGTGTTGATCTCTTATTCAATATCTGAATGTTCAGTGATTTATAAAAATTAGACTATAAGCTTTTTATCATATTTAGATTGGAATGGGATTAAAATGAATTTTCTTCAGATATACATTGGTTGGAAAATTAATATTGAGTGAAACAAATATTGTGTTATTGATAATGATTAGATTGTTGGAAATCTAGAGAGAAGCAATATAAGATTTATGCTAAAAGAAAATCTCATAAATTAGGAAAAGTTGACAAATATATTTGAATAGGATCATTATTTTACATCTTGGGCGTAACAATCCTGTTATTATCCCAACTTGGTTCAGAAATATAGAACAAAAGATACATTACAACAATTAATATTTATTTAATGGGGAAACTTTATAACAAAAGATGATGAAATATATAAATTAGTTGAAAAATCGTTGCTTCTAAAATTGAATTAATTTAAATGGATTAATGAAATATATAGATTAAATTTACTCTGAAATTTTAGTCTATGGTTATTTTCATATTAAGAACATCATTTGCATTATCAAGCAAATGTGATTAATTTTATTTATTATCAAATCAATTTAGATTGGGATAAATTCTCTTTCGAGATAAATATCAAACAATAATATAAATTAAGCATCACATAAAGAAAAAAAATCATATTTTAAAAGATTCTCTTTCGCTAGGTTGATTTGAATCATCAAATCCAGAATCATTTTTTTGTGGTTCAACAAAATAACCATTTGTTTGTCTATTAATCGATTTGAATTCTATTAATTTGTTATGAATAAAACTAAATGCTCCAGGATATTGGACTTCTAATAATTGTTTGGTTTCTTCTGACACTTGAACCCTTCCTTTTTCTCCATTAGACTCCATTTTGTTTGAAATCATAACATCTGCGCCATAAACATCATACCTTACTATCTCTGTTCCTAGTATTCCTGCGATGACTTTCCCCTAAAAATATTAAATAGAATTACGGTATGTATTCCTATTCTCATATCTAATCCATCAAATCCAATTATCTATCTAACGTTTCTAATAATTTCAATCATCCCAAACCCCAATTCAACAACATTCTTCGCCTCTTACGCAGGATTTCTTTGTCTAATATCTATAATTCCAACTGCAACATAACAATCTCCAATAGTATAAAGCTTGTATGTATTCTATGTTAAACATTTTTTGTCAAATTCTGTGAATAGATTTCTTAACATGTTGACAACTTATTCAGGTTCAACCTTGCTAGAATATTCTGTAAATCCAGCTATATCAGCAAATAACAATGTTGCTTCTTCTAATTATTCCACTAAGACCTCCCTCTAATTATTTGATAAAAATTGTTTTAAAATGTGATTTGGTAATAAATACTTTACTAAGTTTTCTGATTAGTTCTTTTTAATTTCAAGAGATCGCTTATTATTAAATGTATTTAAATCTTAATAAAAAATATTGTATTAGACAGAGAACATCAGAATACCTTAATATATTGTATAATATGCTACTGCCCAATCATTAAACTTAATGAGTACAATTATAATTTGAGCTACACAAAAAAATAATAAAAACACAACCTTATGTTTGATTTGAACAATTGATAAGGAACAAAAGAAACATATCAACAGTATTCCTTCTGAAGCTTATAATTCAAATAATTCCTCACTTTTAAGTAGTACAAATTCTAACAAAATGCTGAACAAAAGAATTATGTAAGTTGCAATAAAATATTAACCTTGATAGAATTTGTGTTTTAACTTTTTGTTTTGTAACAATGCCAGTACCAAAAGTACCATTGTTGAAAACAATCTGATAGCTATAATCAACAATGGACTCTCTATGATAGATTATTAAACAAGAATAAAAAGAGTAAGAGTTTTAGCAAGATATTGTAAAAGATGCAAATATATAGTAATAAATACTATATTTCTACCTTCAGCATTTTATTCTATAAATTCTTTTGCTAATTAATATTGATGGTCCTTAAATCCAAGATATAATTTTTTCTTTTCTAATTGTAAGCATTCGCTTATCACATTACTGTTGTCATCCTCTAAATATCCTTTTATTTTATCGAATTCAATATCATAATCAGGAAAATCATCTATCACATCTATTTAAAGATCTCTTCTTAACTTTTATGAAATTTCTAATAAGAGATTTGATTTCTCGAAGTATGATGCTAATTATTCTTTTTCCAATTGACTTGCTTCTTAATCAGCTTCTAACTAAATATTTTAATTGCTATTAATTTTAATTTAACCTGCAGTTTGATATTATTAAGGCATAGATCGCATAAGCAAAGTTTATCTTTGATTTGCTTTCCTTCTAAATTATTTAACAGGATCTTGCTATTATTGCCTATTCGAGACATCTTAAGAGGAGTCCTGCTATGCTGGAATTGATTGTTTAGATGAATGCTATTACATGATATCATTGTTGGTGTTTGTATTTTAAATGTTGTAGGGAAGATTATCTTATAAATTAAATTAGATGCTTTCCTGTCTTCTCAGTGAGTTTTATGCAAAGGATGATGGTTATTTAGCAGATGAGGGTATATTTCCTTATATCGAAGGTTAAGGTGAGAGTATGTGATTATTGGATTCCTCACTTTTCAGAATAACTCCTCTTTTTTTGATATTCTTCTTTTCAGTATTTCTTTTAATTTCCTTGCTAACTTAATATGTTATTAGTTCTCCTTTTCCTTTAGCAGCTACCTTCCTTTAAGTGAACTACAATTCAGGCATATTAATTTCTAAATAAGCTTCATTTGAAAGAGTGACTTATCCATCTTACCCAGTTGAACAAACTCTGCTGGTTGTATTGACAGTATCGCCGATCAAAGAAAATTGTGGTTTGTGATGTCCTATCACTCCAGCTATCACTCTACCATAATGTATTCCTATCTTGATCGCCAAATGACCAATTTGTCCATATTTAACTTTTCTTGTATGATCCATCATCTCTAAAGATAATTAAACTGCCTAAAATATATTGAGCAATTGTTACTCTTTTAACACAATTTTAATTATAAAATTTTGTTCCTTAGTCGACTGCTTTAAGACCTCCTGCTGCCATATAAGTTTTACCAACTGTTTCTATTTTCTGCATCCCGTTTTATGCACACAATTGATCGAATGATCTAAATAATCCATCTAATATCTTCACAATATTTTCCTTTTCAACCGTTATCAAATCATCAAATCCACAAATATCACAAAATAATATTGAAACATTTCCTTAATTCTCGCTTATCTCAAACATACCCTCTAAATAATATCAATAATATTTATATACTTGCATTAATCCGATCCCGAATAAATTTTGGTAACAAAATTGATAGAACATTTGTCATTTTTGATGTTTCTTAGTTTAGAGTTACATCAAGCATAAAATCCTCCCTATCTAATCTCATCAACTTATATTGCAAAGCCATAAACAAGATGCTTGTTGCTATAACAACGACTTCTCCATTGATTAAGGAGAAGTAAGTAATCTACACTGAGGAAAATTCCATTATTGAGTATTTCTTAATGAATCCGATTACTGACAATATTCCAAGAATAAAATTGATTATAGGTAAGTGGATTCTTGAAAATAACAATACTACGATGTAAGTTTAAGTGAGTAATAATTCATAAATTCCTTCTTGCTATGTTGTTCCTAAATCACAAATAAATTTAATAAGAAATCTAATGAAAACAACCGATAAATTTATGAAAAAGAAATGTTTAGGGTAGATATTTGAACACACCAAAAATAGTAGCACAAACTCTAAGGCTATTCCCAAAATATAGGTTAGAAAATATAATTCAGTTGAAAAATGATCAGTATTATATACAACATATAATACTAAAGCGAGTACTTCTAAAAAGAATAAAGTTATGATTAACTTATATCGCTCAAATTTTAACCAAAGAATTTTTGATAATCTTTTGAATTTCATTTCAGTGTCTTTATTCATAAATTTCAAAGTAAATGGATTGACTTTGTCTTAATTTACTTTTAAATTAGTTCCAGAAACCATTTCTTAAATAGATAGATCAAGTTCATCATTATTTCTTTTAAATATCTTACCAGCAATAACAGCAATTCTTTTAATTAAATTATGGTACTTTCTGTAATTGCTTTTGTTGTTCTATGTACTCACTTTCTATGAAATAATAGAAATTTCTTCATAGCACTAATCTGATTTAATTAAACTTTGACAAAATAATGGTTGTATGGCTTCAATGCAACTACTTAAACATAATTATGCACCGATATAAAAAAAGAACACAAACCAAGAATGAGGATCAGTGAATAATTGCTCAAAAGTCTCAATATTATCATCAAATGTAAATTTCACTGATAATAAGGACATACCTAGCCAACATAATAAGTAGGCAAACACCAATATTATCCAAGCCAATACCTTCTACACTGAGGAGACACACAATTTTACCAAATCACTTCCTACTAACAATATCAAAAGCATTTATCTGATGATTCCAATTTGAGTACTTCCATAAAATAATGAAAAGCACGTCA